CACACACTTCCACATCAACAAACAAGGAACAACACAAACACCAAGCCAGCCAACCACACAATCCGACAATCACACTCACTCCTCAACGTACAAATTTCCACTAAACTACACACACTTCAAATTCTAACAATTCATACACCACACATCAATGTACACGAGATAACACGCAAAACAACTACAATCAACCAAAATCCATACAACAAGAAACACGGAAATCCAACATCATCAACATTCAGCCAATCTACAACTTCATCAACAGTCAATCCATCTGTGCCTTCACAAGAAACCCACAACACATCAATTCTCCATTCTATGCAACCAAGCCACAAATACTTTCACATCCCAAAATCACCAATTAACATACACACAAAAAAAGAAACCAACACAACAACTCACCCGCTATTCCAACTCCCGCTTCCACCTCATCGTCGACATCCAAGGGATGTGGGATCGGGGATAATGTCACCTTCCTCGACCTTGAAGGCCGTCGCGACTCGCCGTCAGCAGCTACACACTCATTCGCCTCTTCAACTGCACACTCTGCACAAAGCAAAAACAAACGACACACTCACCATTAAAACATCAACACAACACAATAAACCGACTCACAAATCACAAACAACTACACACTGACCACAAATCAACAACCACTCACCATCCATCAACCAACACGCAAACATATAAACACACAACACAGTCACAACCTCAAAGCTAAACTAATCAAATACCAATCGCTTCACCATATAACACATTCAGAATACCTTCCTTCAGAAAAACACAAACCAAAGCAACACATTACACCGCCAGCGAACACAAACAAACAAACAAACAGACACACACACACACACACACACTTTCACATCAACAAACAAGGAACAACACAAACACCAAGCCAGCCAACCACACAATCCGACAATCACACTCACTCCTCAACGTACAAATTTCCACTAAACTACACACACTTCAAACTCTAACAATTCATACACCACACATCAATGTACACGAGATAACACGCAAAACAACTACAATCAACCAAAATCCATACAACAAGAAACACGGAAATCCAACATCATCAACATTCAGCCAATCTACAACTTCATCAACAGTCAATCCATCTGTGCCTTCACAAGAAACCCACAACACATCAATTCTCCATTCTATGCAACCAAGCCACAAATACTTTCACATCCCAAAAACACCAATTAACATACACACAAAAAAAGAAACCAACACAACAACTCACCCGCTATTCCAACTCCCGCTTCCACCTCATCGTCGACATCCAAGGGATGTGGGATCGGGGATAATGTCACCTTCCTCGACCTTGAAGGCCGTCGCGACTCGCCGTCAGCAGCTACACACTCATTCGCCTCTTCAACTGCACACTCTGCACAAAGCAAAAACAAACGACACACTCACCATTAAAACATCAACACAACACAATACACCGACTCACAAATCACAAACAACTACACACTGACCACAAATCAACAACCACTCACCATCCATCAACCAACACGCAAACATATAAACACACAACACAGTCACAACCTCAAAGCTAAACTAATCAAATACCAATCGCTTCACCATATAACACATTCAGAATACCTTCCTTCAGAAAACACAAACCAAAGCAACACATTACACCGCCAGCGAACACAAACAAACAAACAAACAGACACACACACACACACACTTTCACATCAACAAACAAGGAACAACACAAACACCAAGCCAGCCAACCACACAATCCGACAATCACACTCACTCCTCAACGTACAAATTTCCACTAAACTACACACACTTCAAATTCTAACAATTCATACACCACACATCAATGTACACGAGACAACACGCAAAACAACTACAATCAACCAAAATCCATACAACAAGAAACACGGAAATCCAACATCATCAACATTCAGCCAATCTACAACTTCATCAACAGTCAATCCATCTGTGCCTTCACAAGAAACCCACAACACATCAATTCTCCATTCTATGCAACCAAGCCACAAATACTTTCACATCCCAAAATCACCAATTAACATACACACAAAAAAAGAAACCAACACAACAACTCACCCGCTATTCCAACTCCCGCTTCCACCTCATCGTCGACATCCAAGGGATGTGGGATCGGGGATAATGTCACCTTCCTCGACCTTGAAGGCCGTCGCGACTCGCCGTCAGCAGCTACACACTCATTCGCCTCTTCAACTGCACACTCTGCACAAAGCAAAAACAAACGACACACTCACCATTAAAACATCAACACAACACAATACACCGACTCACAAATCACAAACAACTACACACTGACCACAAATCAACAACCACTCACCATCCATCAACCAACACGCAAACATATAAACACACAACACAGTCACAACCTCAAAGCTAAACTAATCAAATACCAATCGCTTCACCATATAACACATTCAGAATACCTTCCTTCAGAAAAACACAAACCAAAGCAACACATTACACCGCCAGCGAACACAAACAAACAAACAAACAGACACACACACACACACTTTCACATCAACAAACAAGGAACAACACAAACACCAAGCCAGCCAACCACACAATCCGACAATCACACTCACTCCTCAACGTACAAATTTCCACTAAACTACACACACTTCAAACTCTAACAATTCATACACCACACATCAATGTACACGAGATAACACGCAAAACAACTACAATCAACCAAAATCCATACAACAAGAAACACGGAAATCCAACATCATCAACATTCAGCCAATCTACAACTTCATCAACAGTCAATCCATCTGTGCCTTCACAAGAAACCCACAACACATCAATTCTCCATTCTATGCAACCAAGCCACAAATACTTTCACATCCCAAAAACACCAATTAACATACACACAAAAAAAGAAACCAACACAACAACTCACCCGCTATTCCAACTCCCGCTTCCACCTCATCGTCGACATCCAAGGGATGTGGGATCGGGGATAATGTCACCTTCCTCGACCTTGAAGGCCGTCGCGACTCGCCGTCAGCAGCTACACACTCATTCGCCTCTTCAACTGCACACTCTGCACAAAGCAAAAACAAACGACACACTCACCATTAAAACATCAACAAAACACAATAAACCGACTCACAAATCACAAACAACTACACACTGACCACAAATCAACAACCACTCACCATCCATCAACCAACACGCAAACATATAAACACACAACACAGTCACAACCTCAAAGCTAAACTAATCAAATACCAATCGCTTCACCATATAACACATTCAGAATACCTTCCTTCAGAAAACACAAACCAAAGCAACACATTACACCGCCAGCGAACACAAACAAACAAACAAACAGACACACACACACACACTTTCACATCAACAAACAAGGAACAACACAAACACCAAGCCAGCCAACCACACAATCCGACAATCACACTCACTCCTCAACGTACAAATTTCCACTAAACTACACACACTTCAAATTCTAACAATTCATACACCACACATCAATGTACACGAGATAACACGCAAAACAACTACAATCAACCAAAATCCATACAACAAGAAACACGGAAATCCAACATCATCAACATTCAGCCAATCTACAACTTCATCAACAGTCAATCCATCTGTGCCTTCACAAGAAACCCACAACACATCAATTCTCCATTCTATGCAACCAAGCCACAAATACTTTCACATCCCAAAAACACCAATTAACATACACACAAAAAAAGAAACCAACACAACAACTCACCCGCTATTCCAACTCCCGCTTCCACCTCATCGTCGACATCCAAGGGATGTGGGATCGGGGATAATGTCACCTTCCTCGACCTTGAAGGCCGTCGCGACTCGGCGTCAGCAGCTATACACATCTTTGCCGCTTTAAATTCGTAGTCTGTGTATAGTGGTTAGAAATAACGTGTTGATGGATAAAGGCACTGGGGACACAGTGGAATTATTTTAGCATCACGAGTCGTGGATGTTTGGGAAAGAAGTAGGGACTAATCAATGTTTAGTCACCTGTGTGCTGTTGAAAGTTTGAGGTTTGTGATAAGGCTATAAACTCAACGTGATGCTATGGAATCGGTGTATGTTTTGTTTAATTCTGTAGGAAGGGTGCGAGTCAGAAATAGGGATTCGCATAAATCGCACTATATCTGTGTGGTGTACATTAGGATAAGTATTTGGCTGCTGCGCTTCGCGTTTTTCCTGCCTCTCTATCTAATACGAGCATGGCATATTCGTGGTTTGTATATTAAATTATATCGACTTATTTTAGTATATCTTCGGGAATGGAATATTCACACAGGCAGTAGCCTCATCCTTATCGGAAGAGAAAATACACAATGCAGGATATTCGGATTTATTTTTCTTTTGAGATTATATGAATCATTGTTTACTAGTAAGGATTAGCATCCGACTAACAGCTGTTACCTACACGTGGCGGTCAGGCTTGTATGGCGTAGTGTCCTAACGGGTTCTACTGCATGTAACTAATGTTCCTCCAGGTACTAGAATGTTAATAGGTAGGTTATCAGGATGGCGATTAGACTTAAAGTAGTTACTAACATATTGTAGATGTTTACTCTATCCTGGAGGTCTGTGGGCGAAGAGGGATATAACAGCAGTGGAAGACATTTCCCTCAGATAACCAGTATACCTGATATTCAGTCTCTTCACTCTGGAGAGGGAAAGTTCGGAAAATTATACATTCTGACTAACCCTATGAGTGTAAGTCCCGGATACGGATACAACTCTAATAAGCAACCAATTGAAACAGACTGTGTGTGTGTGACCAACTTCAAACAGTTGTCCTCTAGACTGAGCGGTCATGTAACACTGATTCGCTTTATGTTTCAAGTGTGTCAAGAAAATATTAACTTCCACGGTTTGGATAACCCTAACCAGGATGGAACAACTGCCCATGCACTTTGAAAAGTACATAAGTCAGTCAGACAGTCAGTTAGGTTTAACAATGAACTTACCATCAGTGGGATTTTTTGGCACTGATTTAATAGAATCCATATGGCTATCGTCAAAGGAATCCAAAAAGCTATCTGTAATGGTTATACTTAATGGTCTAATTAATGGGATGCTATCAGGATTTCGATTTGTATGCAACAAATCACTCTGTTCTTTATGCCCAAGTGAAGAAGTTCGTTGACTGGACTGGAAAAAAAAGAAGAGTAAAATGAAAAATAAAAAACAGTATTCAAATATTTAATAAAAAATAAACGTTCATTTTGTTCAATGAGATAAATGTAACTATTGAGATAACTATGATCCTGATATTCTAGTAACAATTGGGCTTATTATCAAAACGTCTGTAAAGGCTATAAACTAAGTAAGTATTTCAACTTTCGACTTTTTGATGAATGAAACGGAACAGTTCTGCAATCAGAGACGTTATCACTGAGCTATTTACGTTTACGACTTGTAATAGAAAAATTCATTTGCCAGTGAGAGGTAGTCAGTGTCACCTGTTTAGTGAACCACCTAGTCTGATGATCACATATAGCAAAGTGGACTCATAAACATCCGATCAGTACCAACACGATGGACCAGAAAAATACACGACATTACTGACTCAATCATGTATTGATCAAATCGCCACACAACGGATCATCATTGGACAAAGTTTGGAATGGCATTCACCTCTCTATCTCAACTTCATCGACTTTGAAAAGGCCTCCGACAGCGTCGATCGAGAGGTGATTTGGCAACTACTTCGCTACTACGGGGTGCCGCCGACAATTATACATCTCATCCAACAGTTGTATGACAACGCTGCATGCCAAGTAATCCACAACGGGAGGCTCACGGAATCCTTCGAAGTGAAGACAGGAGTAAGACAGGGTTGCCTACTATCGCCAATGATTTTCCTGATTGCAGTAGATTGGATAATGCGACAGACAGCGGACCGGGCCAGGAGGAAACAGGCATAAAATGGACTCACACAAAGAACTTGGAGGATCTGGACTTCGCCGATAATATGTCTGATTTCCCACAAACTGGAAGATATGCAAGTGAAAAGTAACAAGTTGGCAGAAGAAGCATCAAAGATAGGACTTCAGGTGAACATAGAGAAAACGGAGGTGATGAAGATTCCTGGCCAACAACACCAACAGCCACAGCAACAACAACAGACAGCAATCAGCATAAATGGAAGGAACCTGAAAGAAACAACCTCCTTCACCTACCTACCTGGGAAGCATCGTTGCAACTACAGGCGGAACTGACGAGGATATCGAAGCAAGGATCGGGAAAGCAAGGCAAGCTTTCATTACTCTCAAGTCTGTGTGGAGGTCAACAGCATTCAGCGTCAAAAATAAGATCCGGATTTTCAACTCCAATGTGAAGTCAGTGCTACTCATTATACGGATCAGAGACTTGCACTGCGCGTCATAAAGAGCATCTCAAACAAACTACAGACCTTCATTAACAGTTATCTTCGCTCAATACTCAAAATCAGATGGCCGGCCAGGAAAGATCAGCAACAGGGATCTCTGGGAGCAAACCAACCAGGAACCGATTGTGAAACAAATATGCAGAAGGAAATGGAAATGGATTGGCTGGCCATACTCTGAGGAAACAAACCATCAAGTGACATCACTAGACAAGCCATTGCTCGAGTGGAACCCGAAAGGAAAGCGGCGAGTTGGTCGTCAGTGTGAGGGTGACTTGGAGGAGGTCATGTGAAGAGGAGATGAAAACATGTGGGCAGACATGGAGCCAGGTGAAAACTCTAGCAGAGAACCGAACGCAATGGAGACGCATGGCTGAAGCCCTATGTTCCTCTAGGAACTAAAGGAAATAATAATAATAGTGACTCAATCACAGTCTTGAGTTCGAACAGACCAACGGTAGTATCTCTGACTCCGTTGGGGGATATCAGTTTCTAAAAGGTTACAAATACACCTTGTTGATGAGTGTCAACAAGCCAGAAACCTATAGCGCTGCACAGTTCCTGCCTATTGCCAGCAACTATTTAACAAAAATGATTATATGTTAGGTTAGCACAAAATGTTAAAAGAAAAGCAATGAACAACTAACCCGATCTTTGGTTCTTTTCTCTTCATCTAACCCGTTCACTAACAAAAAAAAATAATAAACGAAAGAATGACCAATAGTAGTAATATAATATAAATACAACATACATATAAAACCGGTGACTGGTTACAAGGCGAGCTCGTAGATCATTAAGGTCCTGAGTTCGAACCCCGATGGGCGCATACACTTGAAGAGTCCAAAACTAGGACGAAAGAGCTGTCCAGTACTCCCTGTAGGTTTTCCAATGGTTCTCCAATCAATCGAATCCCTGAAAACCAATACCTGAATATCAATGAGATACTCACTAGCGACTGGTCCTATTCAGGTAGGTAGTTGCTTGGGGTTCTAGTGGGAAGTCGTGACCAGTAGGATACAGCAAGAGAAAATGCATTAGTATGAATATACTTCAAGTTAGACAAGCACTAATTGGCTAAGCACAGTATATCTTATTATTCGAATAATATGTAGTACTACAACGCTTGTTTTTCTTTCTTTTTCTGGGTTCCATAGAATAAGTGACTTTTGTATTCTTTACATTCTCGTCAAACGTCAACTAATGCATCTTATCTAGTAAAAGTCAAGATTCACAGTTTATATTTCAGAAGCCGATCGATCACCAGTTCCATTTTAGAAGTAATAATAATAGTAGCAATCCTGGAAAATATAATAGATTGAAAGTGAGTGTACATCCAAACCCATATGATCAATTCTCAGCAACACTAGTAATATGGCTATTAACGATTGATTCTAATGATTTGCAGAATATCATCTAGGTAACTTAAACGCCTCATTAACATTTAGATTGACAATCAATAAACTTCAAAAGCTGTTGATAACTATGAATTTATTTTTATACCACTGGAAACAACAATCTCAAAATGAACGATAGTAAAAGTTATGAGTAAAGCATGCATATTTATTAGTTGGTTAAAATTCGGTTACCCGATACCGGAGGCTATGAGTCAAACTTGTTCTCTGAGGGCTGATGAGAATAGTTTGTTGCCCCGGCTGAAATAGGTGGAGCGAAATTCAAACCCCGCACCTATTGACTAGGAGTCAAATGCCTAATCCAGCCGATGAGCCACATCTCCATATAACCATGTTTACCTGAAGCAATAGTCCCAGGAAAGCTATTTAAAGGTTTACGATTACTTTTGTAAAACCCTAAAAGAAAAGGCAACAGACTGTATACGGGAAAGTGGGAAACGATGGAACAGCGTGAATATATTATCTCATAACAAAAAGGACTTACACAACGCCAATGCACTGATTTTATCCTGTTCGCCAAGGAGACGTCGTCTTTTCGCTGAGGAAGACTACAAAAGCAAATCCAAATAAACGAATACACATTTCCCATCATGCATGTTTTTAAAAAAATACAATTTCATATTAAGCACAAAGTTCGCCAACCATGTACGTGGTGCGGATTCGATTCCCAACCGGCGAACACCTTAACCCCCCCCCCCCCAGCCTTCTCCTGGACGGTTGTAAACCAGAGTGAGCTTAGCGACTCAACTCCGTAACAAACACCAGTGCTACTGAATCTTCAAATCTCAAACTTGAAGTCTTATTTTCCTCTAAGAACGAAAACGAATAAAATAATAACAATAAATCACTTAGACAGTCTAGGAGCTACCTTATGAACCATAGTCTATTTGCATTGTCATACTCCAGTGTTAGTGATTGTTCACCCTTGCCATTTGCTACAAAGGTAGAAGAGGGACCACTCTTCACCGAATCAAATAAGTGTAAATGCAAATAGAACTAATTAACAATTATCTTAGATATGTGAAAAACAGTAATACTCATTTGAAAAATGAGTAGGAAGAATGAAATCTAAGAAAATCAAAATTCAAACAGAAACGGCTACAGTCAATATTTGAATAAGTAGTTATCGAGATTTGCAACCATATGCAGTGTATAGTGAAGTAACTAACAAAAAGACTTACGCTAGAGGAAGAGGAACGACGAGATTTGCTTAACCGACCTATAAAGATAAAAACAAGGAAGGCAAAAAACAGGAAACAAAACCATGAAAGAACGAATTATAACAAGACCAAAACCACTTTTTTTTACTTGAAAATAAACCATCAAAACAGAATCGGCTACACAGATACAAACATACATATAAAACAACTTTTTATTTATTATTTATTATTATTTCCTTTAATTCCTAGAGGAACATAGGGCTTCAGCCATGCGTCTCCATTGCGTTCGGTTCTCTGCTGTAGTTTTCACCTGGCTCCAAGTCTGCCCACACGTTTTCAATTCCTCTTCACATGATCTCCTCCAGGTCACCCTTGGACGACCAACTCGTCGCTTCCCTTTCGGGTTCCACTCGAGGGCTTGTCTAGTGATGTCACTTGCTGGTTTCCTCAGAGTGTGTCCAATCCATCTCCATTTCTTCCTGCCTATTTGTTTCACGATCGGTTCCTGGTTGGTTCGCTCCCAGAGATCTTTGTTGCTGATCCTCTCCGGCCATTTGATCTTGAGTATTGAGCGAAGGCATTTGTTAATGAAGGTCTGTAGCTAGTTTGAGCTGCTCTTTGTGACACGCCAAGTCTCTGATCCGTATAGTAGTACTGACTTCACATTGGAGTTGAAAATACGGATCTTATTTTTGACGCTGAATGCTGTTGACCTCCACATAGACTTGAGAGAAATGAAAACTTGTCTTGCTTTTCCGATTCTGGCTTTGATATCCTCGTCAGTTCCTCCTGTAGTTGAGACGATGCTTCCCAGGTAGGTGAAAGAAGTTGTTTCCTTCAGGTTCCTCCCGTTTATGCTGATTGTTGTCGGTTGTTGCTGTTGATGTTGGCCAGGAATCTTCATTACCTCTGTTTTGTCCATGTTCACTTGAAGTCCTATCTTTGCTGCTTCTTCTGCCAATTTGTTGCTTTTCACTTGCATATCTTCCAGTTTGTGGGAAATCAGACATATATCATCGGCGAAATCCAAATCCCCCAAGGCTTTTGTGTCGGTCCATTTTATGCCTGTTCCCTCGTTGGTTGCCGTTGTCTGCCGCATTATCCAATCAACTGCAATCAGGAAGATCATTGGTGACAGTAGACAGCCTTGTCTCACTCCCGTCCTCACTTCGAAGGATTCCGTGAGCCTCCCGTTGTGGATTACTTGGCATGCAGCGTTGTCATACAGCTGTTGGATGAGATGTATAATTGTCGGCGGCACCCCGTAGTAGCGAAGTAGTTGCCAAATCACCTCTCGATCGACGCTGTCGAAGGCTTTCTCAAAATCGATGAAGTTGAGATAGAGAGGTGACTGCCATTCCAAACTTTGTTCAATGATAATCCGTAGTGTGGCGATTTGATCAATGCATGACTTGTTCCTCCTGAATCCGGCCTGTTCCGGACGAAGTTTTTCATCTAGGGCTACATAAAACAACTAGGCATACAAATTCAACCTCAGCCCGAGCAAATCCCAGAAACACCGACGAATGTCCGACATACACACACACACACACTTTAAGTAAATTTAGCCATCACAACAGCTACAGAGAGATTAATCTAAATTAACGACATCGAAACCAAGGAACATAAAAAGCTAGACACAAAAAATAAATATTAATTTTCTTCAATGTATGAACAGAACTGTACTAACCTTGATTCTCAACATCACATAATTTCGAATCAACCTCCGTCAAAACGCGAACAGAAATCGACTTTCTAGCTCGTGAACTAATCGACACACCACCATTAACATTGTCATTTAATGTACCTAGTAAAGCACAAATCGGCAAAATTATCAACAGCTTATTCAATTCCTCAACAACAACAACAAAAACAATCTCAAGAGGAACAATATCGAGCAACAAATATACCTTTCGATTATGTTACCCAAAAGCCCTACAAGTACATTCCTCATCTATCACATAAAGGACCATCAAACGATTCTCATTAAAAAAATTCATCAATATTAGGTAATACATATGTATAAACATCACCACCACAACAAACAACCCACACGCATCCGAATAAAATAACAAAATGGAACACCTCGTCAAAACATTTTACAGCTTCTCAAGTGACTCAGCATTCAGAGTCACATACCAGGTAAACAAATTTTCCCAAAGCCAAAGCAAGGTTCCGAACAATTTCAACTCCACAAGACCACGAAATATACCCCGGACAATAAGAGATATGTGTTCAAAACAAACTGGTAACACGCCAAAACCCACAAGGTATATAGTCAACTACATCGCCGTTCGGAAGATTTATTCATTCCCTCAAAAACCAGATTATACAAATAAAAATATTATTGCTCATAATTCCGACAACAAAACCAAATATATACATGCTCTTTCTTACACTCAATGCCATCAAGTCTCATCAAAACTAACACTCGTCAGATACACACACAGACTTATTTATACTCACACTAGCCAGCTTCTCAGATCCACTCACCATACCACTCTATAGTCTCTGTCTGCCACTCAACTCACGCCTCACAAATCTTACAAATCAACTCTCACAACCTCACAAGAAAATCCCACAAAATCGACCAGTCTCTAAGCATATTATTACTCATCAACACACACACACACATCTCCCTCAACATATTCCTCACCTTCACAATTCCCATTTTCAACCACCTTACAAGTCTGTCAACCCTATCCAATGCACTATCTCACACGTCGCTACAACTTCTTCCCACCGACTCAATCGCCGACCATGTATCTCTATCGTCACCACTAACAACACTCCACGTAAAACTGAACATCACCCTCAACAACAAATCATTAAACCACTTTCCGAAACTCAACACACCAACAACCAACATCCACGCCTTCACACAAACATCTACACACACACACACAGATGATGCATATCCATTTCATTGAGTACATCAACACAACTGCACTAACCTTCCTTCTCAACATCACACAATTTCGAATCAACACCTGTCGACATGCTAACAGTATTCGACTCTCCAGCTCCCGATCGAATCGACACACCCCCACCGGAATTGCCATCTAATCCACCTGGTAAAGTACAAATCATCAACATCATCAATAAACAACTCAACTCCTCCACAACAAATAACATTCAAATACACATTTCAAAACAACACCAAATTTACCCTGCTCAACTTCCGACACTCCAACCACTGTGTCACTCAGTCGCAATCCAGAGAAGCATTCTAAAATATACAAAACATCACAAAATTTAACGTCAATCAGCTACCTAACCCATCAACAATTACAATCACAACAGTTATCATAATAACATTCATTATTATCCTTGTTATTACTAGTATTATTATTATGATTACTATTATTACTATTATTATTATCACCACTACTATTATATCAATGGCATACATGCCACAACAACATCAACAACAACAACAACCACACACATAAACTACGTTATTGCACTTACCTCCACCACCACCTGACAAATTTGACCTGACCCTGCCTCTCCTCTCAAACCGTCGTCTTCCCACAAGCTACAATAAACAACAACAACAACAACACGTAAGAAACACCAACCACATGCGCATTACAAAACAAAACAAAACAAACACTCCACTCTCCCAACAAAAACCAAACAACAAATACATCAAAGGAAAATCAACTCACCGGAACGTCTCTATCATCACCAACCTCCTCCTCTCTCGTCAACTCTGCAAATAAAACCATACACAGAATTTCATTAGAATCGATCTCCACACACAATACAACACAATACTATCAATTAAACACACACTCACTCAATCACCCACTCACAACCATCATCATCATCAGCATCACCACCACCAACACCAACAACAACAACAACACCAACACAATCAATATAATCCAGTCTAGTCAACTACCCACTCACACATATCTTCTCCACGCAACCACCCCAAACATCCATCAAAAACATACGTATCACCACTCAATGACTACCGAAATACATACATGCTCTTTCTTACACTCAATGCCATCAAGTCTCATCAAAACTAACACTCGTCAGATACACACACAGACTTATTTATACTCACACTAGCCAGCCTCTCAGATCCCCTCACCATACCACTCTATAGTCTCTGTCTGCCACTCAACTCACGCCTCACAAATCTCACAAATCAACTCTCACAACCTCACAAGAAAATCCCTCAAAATCGACCAGTCTCTAAGCATATTATTACTCATCCACACACACACACACACATCTCCCTCAACATATTCCTCACCTTCACAATTCCCATTTTCAACCACCTTACAAGTCTGTCAACCCTATCCAATGCACTATCTCACACGTCGCTACAACTTCTTCCCACCGACTCAATCGCCGACCATGTATCTCTATCGTCACCACTAACAACACTCCACGTAAAACTGAACATCACCCTCAACAACAAATCATTAAACCACTTTCCGAAACTCAACACACCAACAACCAACATCCACGCCTTCACACAAACATCTACACACACACACACAGATGATGCATATCCATTTCATTGAGTACATCAACACAACTGCACTAACCTTCCTTCTCAACATCACACAATTTCGAATCAACACCTGTCGACATGCTAACAGTATTCGACTCTCCAGCTCCCGGTCCAATCGACACACCCCCACTGGAATTGCCATCTAATCCACCTGGTAAAGTACAAATCATCAACATCATCAATAAACAATTCAACTCCTCCACAACAAATAACATTCAAATACACATTTCAAAACAACACCAAATTTACCCTGATCAACTTCCGACACTCCAACCACTGTGTCACTCAGTCGCAATCCAGAGAAGCATTCTAAAATATACAAAACATCACAAAATTTAACGTCAATCAGCTACCTAACCCATCAACAATTACAATCACAACAGTTATCATAATAACATTCATGAATATCCCTGTTACCACTATTACTGTGTTTATTATCACCACTACTATTATATCAATGGCATACATGCCACAACAACATCAACAACAACAACAACCACACACATAAACTACGTTATTGCACTTACCTCCACCACCACCTGACAAATTTGACCTGACCCTGCCTCTCCTCCCAAACCGTCGTCTTCCTACAAGCTACAATAAACAACAACAACAACAACAACACGTAAGAAACACCAACCACATGCGCATTACAAAACAAAACAAAACAAACACTCCACTCTCCCAACAAAAACCAAACAACAAATACATCAAAGGAAAATCAACTCACCGGAACGTCTCTATCATCACCAACCTCCTCCTCTCTCGTCAACTCTGCAAATAAAACCATACACAGAATTTCATTAGAATCGATCTCCACACACAATACAACACAATACTATCAATTAAACACACACTCACTCAATCACCCACTCACAACCATCATCATCATCAGCATCACCACCACCAACACCACCAACAACAACAACACCAACACAATCAATATAATCCAGTCTAGTCAACTACCCACTCACACATATCTTCTCCACGCAACCACCCCAAACATCCATCAAAAACATACGTATCACCACTCAATGACTACCGAAATACATACATGCTCTTTCTTACACTCAATGCCATCAAGTCTCATCAAAACTAACACTCGTCAGATACACACACAGACTTATTTATACTCACACTAGCCAGCCTCTCAGATCCCCTCACCATACCACTCTATAGTCTCTGTCTGCCACTCAACTCACGCCTCACAAATCTTACAAATCAACTCTCACAACCTCACAAGAAAATCCCTCAAAATCGACCAGTCTCTAAGCATATTATTATTCATCCACACACACACACACACATCTCCCTCAACATATTCCTCACCTTCACAATTCCCATTTTCAACCACCTTACAAGTCTGTCAACCCTATCCAATGCACTATCTCACACGTCGCTACAACTTCTTCCCACCGACTCAATCGCCGACCATGTATCTCTATCGTCACCACTAACAACATTCCACGTAAAACTGAACATCACCCTCAACAACAAATCATTAAACCACTTTCCGAAACTCAACACACCAACAACCCACATCCACGCCTTCACACAAACAGCTACACACACACACACACACACAGATGATACATATCCATTTTATTGACTACATCAACAGAACTCCACTAACCTTCCTTCTCAACATCACACAATTTCGAATCAACACCTGTCGACATGCTAACAGTATTCGACTCTCCAGCTCCCGGTCCAATCGACACACCCCCACCGGAATTGCCATCTAATCCACCTGGTAAAGTACAAATCATCAACATCATCAATAAACAACTCAACTCCTCCACAACAAATAACATTCAAATACACATTTCAAAACAACACCAAATTTACCCTGCTCAACTTCCGACACTCCAACCACTGTGTCACTCAGTCGCAATCCAGAGAAGCATTCTAAAATATACAAAACATCACAAAATTTAACGTCAATCAGCTACCTAACCCATCAACAATTACAATCACAACAGTTATCATAATAACATTCATGAATATCCCTGTTACCACTATTACTGTGTTTATTATCACCACTACTATTATATCAATGGCATACATGCCACAACAACATCAACAACAACAACAACCACACACATAAACTACGTTATTGCACTTACCTCCACCACCACCTGACAAATTTGACCTGACCCTGCCTCTCCTCCCAAACCGTCGTCTTCCCACAAGCTACAATAAACAACAACAACACGTAAGAAACACCAACCACATGCGCATTACAAAACAAAACAAAACAAACACTCCACTCTCCCAACAAAAACCAAACAACAAATACATCAAAGGAAAATCAACTCACCGGAACGTCTCTATCATCACCAACCTCCTCCTCTCTCGTCAACTCTGCAAATAAAACCATACACAGAATTTCATTAGAATCGATCTCCACACACAATACAACACAATACTATCAATTAAACACACACTCACTCAATCACCCACTCACAACCATCATCATCATCAGCATCACCACCACCAACACCACCAACAACAACAACACCAACACAATCAATATAATCCAGTCTAGTCAACTACCCACTCACACATATCTTCTCCACGCAACCACCCCAAACATCCATCAAAAACATACGTATCACCACTCAATGACTACCGAAATACATACATGCTCTTTCTTACACTCAATGCCATCAAGTCTCATCAAAACTAACACTCGTCAGATACACACACAGACTTATTTATACTCACACTAGCCAGCCTCTCAGATCCCCTCACCATACCACTCTATAGTCTCTGTCTGACACTCAACTCACGCCTCACAAATCTTACAAATCAACTCTCACAACCTCACAAGAAAATCCCTCAAAATCGACCAGTCTCTAAGCATATTATTATTCATCCACACACACACACACACATCTCCCTCAACATATTCCTCACCTTCACAATTCCCATTTTCAACCACCTTACAAGTCTGTCAACCCTATCCAATGCACTATCTCACACGTCGCTACAACTTCTTCCCACCGACTCAATCGCCGACTAGATCTCTATCGTTATCACTAACAACATTCCACGTAAAACTGAACATCACCCTCAACAACAAATCATTAAACCACTTTCCGAAACTCAACACACCAACAACCAACATCCACGCCTTCACACAAACATCTACACACACACACACACACAGATGATACATATCCATTTTATTGAGTACATCAACAGAACTCCACTAACCTTCCTTCTCAACATCACACAATTTCGAATCAACACCTGTCGACATGCTAACAGTATTCGACTCTCCAGCTCCCGGTCCAATCGACACACCCCCACTGGAATTGCCATCTAATCCACCTGGTAAAGTACAAATCATCAACATCATCAATAAACAATTCAACTCCTCCACAACAAATAACATTCAAATACACATTTCAAAACAACACCAAATTTACCCTGATCAACTTCCGACACTCCAACCACTGTGTCACTCAGTCGCAATCCAGAGAAGCATTCTAAAATATACAAAACATCACAAAATTTAACGTCAATCAGCTACCTAACCCATCAACAATTACAATCACAACAGTTATCATAATAACATTCATTATTATCCTTGTTATTACTAGTATTATTATCACCACTACTATTATATCAATGGCATACATGCCACAACAACATCAACAACAACAACCACACACATAAACTACGTTATTGCACTTACCTCCACCACCACCTGACAAATTTGACCTGGCCCTGCCTCTCCTCCCAAACCGTCGTCTTCCCACAAGCTACAATAAACAACAACAACAACAACAACACGTAAGAAACACCAACCACATGCCCATTACAAAACAAAACAAAACAAACACTCCACTCTCCCAACAAAAACCAAACAACAAATACATCAAAGGAAAATCAACTCACCGGAACGTCTCTATCATCACCAACCTCCTCCTCTCTCGTCAACTCTGCAAATAAAACCATACACATAATTTCATTAGAATCGATCTCCACACAATACAACACAATACTATCAATTAAACACACATTCACTCAATCACCCACTCACAACCATCATCATCATCATCATCAGCATCACCACCAACAACAACAACAACACCAACACAATCAATATTATCCAGTCTAGTCAACTACCCACTCACACATATCTTCTCCACGCAACCACCCCAAACATCCATCAAAAACATACGTATCAACACTCAATGACTACCGAAATACATACATGCTCTTTCTTACACTCAATGCCATCAAGTCTCATCAAAACTAACACTCGTCAGATACACACACAGACTTATTTATACTCACACTAGCCAGCCTCTCAGATCCCCTCACCATACCACTCTATAGTCTCTGTCTGCCACTCAACTCACGCCTCACAAATCTCACAAATCAACTCTCACAACCTCACAAGAAAATCCCTCAAAATCGACCAGTCTCTAAGCATATTATTATTCATCCACACACACACACACACACATCTCCCTCAACATATTCCTCACCTTCACAATTCCCATTTTCAACCACCTTACAAGTCTGTCAACCCTATCCAATGCACTATCTCACACGTCGCTACAACTTCTTCCCACCGACTCAATCGCCGACCATATATCTCTATCGTCACCACTAACAACACTCCACGTAAAACTGAACATCACCCTCAACAACAAATCATTAAACCACTTTCCGAAACTCAACACACCAACAACCCACATCCACGCCTTCACACAAACAGCTACACACACACACACACAGATGATACATATCCATTTCATTGAGTACATCAACAGAACTGCACTAACCTTCCTTCTCGACGTCACACAATTTCGAATCAACACCTGTCGACATGCTAACAGTATTCGACTCTCCAGCTCCCGGTCCAATCGACACACCCCCACTGGCATTGCCATCTAATCCACCTGGTAAAGTACAAATCATCAACATCATCAATAAACAATTCAACTCCTCCACAACAAATAACATTCAAATACACATTTCAAAACAACACCAAATTTACCCTGATCAACTTCCGACACTCCAACCACTGTGTCACTCAGTCGCAATCCAGAGAAGCATTCTAAAATATACAAAACATCACAAAATTTAACGTCAATCAGCTACCTAACCCATCAACAATTACAATCACAACAGTTATCATAATAACATTCATTATTATCCTTGTTATTACTATTCTTATTCTTATTATAATTATTATTATTACTATTATTATCACCACTACTATTATATCAATGGCATACATGCCACAACAACATCAACAACAACAACAACCACACACATAAACTACGTTATTGCACTTACCTCCACCACCACCTGACAAATTTGACCTGACCCTGCCTCTCCTCCCAAACCGTCGTCTTCCCACAAGCTACAATAAACAACAACAACAACAACACGTAAGAAACACCAACCACATGCCCATTACAAAACAAAACAAAACAAACACTCCACTCTCCCAACAAAAACCAAACAACAAATACATCAAAGGAAAATCAACTCACCGGAACGTCTCTATCATCACCAACCTCCTCCTCTCTCGTCAACTCTGCAAATAAAACCATACACATAATTTCATTAGAATCTATCTCCACACAATACAACACAATACTATCAATTAAACACACATTCACTCAATCACCCACTCACAACCATCATCATCATCATCATCAGCATCACCACCAACAACAACAACAACACCAACACAATCAATATTATCCAGTCTAGTCAAGTACCCACTCACACATATCTTCTCCACGCAACCACCCCAAACATCCATCAAAAACATACGTATCACCACTCAATGACTACCGAAATACATACATGCTCTTTCTTACACTCAATGCCATCAAGTCTCATCAAAACTAACACTCGTCAGATACACACACAGACTTATTTATACTCACACTAGCCAGCTTCTCAGATCCCCTCACCATACCACTCTATAGTCTCTGTCTGCCACTCAACTCACGCCTCACAAATCTTACAAATCAACTCTCACAACCTCACAAGAAAATCCCTCAAAATCGACCAGTCTCTAAGCATATTATTATTCATCCACACACACACACACACATCTCCCTCAACATATTCCTCACCTTCACAATTCCCACTTTCAACCACCTTACAAGTCTGTCAACCCTATCCAATGCACTATCTCACACGTCGCTACAACTTCTTCCCACCGACTCAATCGCCGACCATGTATCTCTATCGTCACCACTAACAACACCCCACGTAAAACTGAACATCACCCTCAACAACAAATCATTAAACCACTTTCCGAAACTCAACACACCAACAACCCACATCCACGCCTTCACACAAACAGCTACACACACACACACACACACAGATGATACATATCCATTTTATTGACTACATCAACAGAACTCCACTAACCTTCCTTCTCAACATCACACAATTTCGAATCAACACCTGTCGACATGCTAACAGTATTCGACTCTCCAGCTCCCGGTCCAATCGACACACCCCCACTGGAATTGCCATCTAATCCACCTGGTAAAGTACAAATCATCAACATCATCAATAAACAATTCAACTCCTCCACAACAAATAACATTCAAATACACATTTCAAAACAACACCAAATTTACCCTGATCAACTTCCGACACTCCAACCACTGTGTCACTCAGTCGCAATCCAGAGAAGCATTCTAAAATATACAAAACATCACAAAATTTAACGTCAATCAGCTACCTAACCCATCAACAATTACAATCACAACAGTTATCATAATAACATTCATTATTATCCCTGTTACCACTATTACTGTGTTTATTATCACCACTACTATTATATCAATGGCATACATGCCACAACAACATCAACAACAACAACAACCACACACATAAACTAAGTTATTGCACTTACCTCCACCACCACCTGACAAATTTGACCTGACCCTGCCTCTCCTCCCAAACCGTCGTCTTCCCACAAGCTACAATAAACAACAACAACAACAACACGTAAGAAACACCAACCACATGCCCATTACAAAACAAAACAAAACAAACACTCCACTCTCCCAACAAAAACCAAACAACAAATACATCAAAGGAAAATCAACTCACCGGAACGTCTCTATCATCACCAACCTCCTCCTCTCTCGTCAACTCTGCAAATAAAACCATACACATAATTTCATTAGAATCGATCTCCACACAATACAACACAATACTATCAATTAAACACACATTCACTCAATCACCCACTCACAACCATCATCATCATCATCAGCATCACCACCAACAACACCACCAACAACAACACAATCAATATTATCCAGTCTAGTCAACTACCCACTCACACATATCTTCTCCACGCAACCACCCCAAACATCCATCAAAAACATACGTATCACCACTCAATGACTACCGAAATACATACATGCTCTTTCTTACACTCAATGCCATCAAGTCTCATCAAAACTAACACTCGTCAGATACACACACAGACTTATTTATACTCACACTAGCCAGCCTCTCAGATCCCCTCACCATACCACTCTATAGTCTCTGTCTGCCACTCAACTCACGCCTCACAAATCTTACAAATCAACTCTCACAACCTCACAAGAAAATCCCTCAAAATCGACCAGTCTCTAAGCATATTATTATTCATCCACACACACACACACACACACACACACATCTCCCTCAACAGATTCCTCACCTTCACAATTCCCACTTTCAACCACCTTACAAGTCTGTCAACCCTATCCAATGCACTATCTCACACGTCGCTACAACTTCTTCCCACCGACTCAATCGCCGACCATGTATCTCTATCGTCACCACTAACAACACCCCACGTAAAACTGAACATCACCCTCAACAACAAATCATTAAACCACTTTCCGAAACTCAACACACCAACAACCCACATCCACGCCTTCACACAAACAGCTACACACACACACACACACACACACACAGATGATACATATCCATTTTATTGACTACATCAACAGAACTCCACTAACCTTCCTTCTCAACATCACACAATTTCGAATCAACACCTGTCGACATGCTAACAGTATTCGACTCTCCAGCTCCCGGTCCAATCGACACACCCCCACTGGAATTGCCATCTAATCCACCTGGTAAAGTACAAATCATCAACATCATCAATAAACAATTCAACTCCTCCACAACAAATAACATTCAAATACACATTTCAAAACAACACCAAATTTACCCTGATCAACTTCCGACACTCCAACCACTGTGTCACTCAGTCGCAATCCAGAGAAGCATTCTAAAATATACAAAACATCACAAAATTTAACGTCAATCAGCTACCTAACCCATCAACAATTACAATCACAACAGTTATCATAATAACATTCATTATTATCCCTGTTACCACTATTACTGTGTTTATTATCACCACTACTATTATATCAATGGCATACATGCCACAACAACATCAACAACAACAACAACAACCACACACATAAACTACGTTATTGCACTTACCTCCACCACCACCTGACAAATTTGACCTGACCCTGCCTCTCCTCCCAAACCGTCGTCTTCCCACAAGCTACAATAAACAACAACAACAACAACACGTAAGAAACACCAACCACATGCCCATTACAAAACAAAACAAAACAAACACTCCACTCTCCCAACAAAAACCAAACAACAAATACATCAAAGGAAAATCAACTCACCGGAACGTCTCTATCATCACCAACCTCCTCCTCTCTCGTCAACTCTGCAAATAAAACCATACACATAATTTCATTAGAATCTATCTCCACACAATACAACACAATACTATCAATTAAACACACATTCACTCAATCACCCACTCACAACCATCATCATCATCATCATCACCACCACCAACAACAACAACACCAACACAATCAATATTATCCAGTCTAGTCAACTACCCACTCACACATATCTTCTCCACGCAACCACCCCAAACATCCATCAAAAACATACGTATCACCACTCAATGACTACCGAAATACATACATGCTCTTTCTTACACTCAATGCCATCAAGTCTCATCAAAACTAACACTCGTCAGATACACACACAGACTTATTTATACTCACACTAGCCAGCTTCTCAGATCCCCTCACCATACCACTCTATAGTCTCTGTCTGCCACTCAACTCACGCCTCACAAATCTTACAAATCAACTCTCACAACCTCACAAGAAAATCCCTCAAAATCGACCAGTCTCTAAGCATATTATTATTCATCCACACACACACACACACACATCTCCCTCAACATATTCCTCACCTTCACAATTCCCATTTTCAACCACCTTACAAGTCTGTCAACCCTATCCAATGCACTATCTCACACGTCGCTACAACTTCTTCCCACCGACTCAATCGCCGACCATATATCTCTATCGTCACCACTAACAACACTCCACGTAAAACTGAACATCACCCTCAACAACAAATCATTAAACCACTTTCCGAAACTCAACACACCAACAACCAACATCCACGCCTTCACACAAACATCTACACACACACACACACACACAGATGATACATATCCATTTTATTGACTACATCAACAGAACTCCACTAACCTTCCTTCTCAACATCACACAATTTCGAATCAACACCTGTCGACATGCTAACAGTATTCGACTCTCCAGCTCCCGGTCCAATCGACACACCCCCACTGGCATTGCCATCTAATCCACCTGGTAAAGTACAAATCATCAACATCATCAATAAACAATTCAACTCCTCCACAACAAATAACATTCAAATACACATTTCAAAACAACACCAAATTTACCCTGATCAACTTCCGACACTCCAACCACTGTGTCACTCAGTCGCAATCCAGAGAAGCATTCTAAAATATACAAAACATCACAAAATTTAACGTCAATCAGCTACCTAACCCATCAACAATTACAATCACAAGTTATCATAATAACATTCATGAATATCCCTGTTACCACTATTACTGTGTTTATTATCACCACTACTATTATATCAATGGCATACATGCCACAACAACATCAACAACAACAACAACAACCACACACACATAAACTACGTTATTGCACTTACCACCACCACCACCTGACAAATTTGACCTGACCCTGCCTCTCCTCCCAAACCGTCGTCTTCCCACAAGCTACAATAAACAACAACAACAACAACAACACGTAAGAAACACCAACCACATGCACATTACAAAACAAAACAAAACAAACACTCCACTCTCCCAACAAAAACCAAACAACAAATACATCAAAGGAAAATCAACTCACCGGAACGTCTCTATCATCACCAACCTCCTCGGCTCTCGTCAACTCTGCAAATAAAACCATACACATAATTTCATTAGAATCGATCTCCACACAATACAACACAATACTATCAATTAAACACACACTCACTCAATCACCCACTCACAACCATCATCATCATCACATCACCACCAACACCACCACCACCAACACAATCAATATAATCCAGTCTAGTCAACTACCCACTCACACATATCTTCTCCACGCAACCACCCCAAACATCCATCAAAAACATACGTATCACCACTCAATGACTACAGAAATACATACATGCTCTTTCTTACACTCAATGCCATCAAGTCTCATCAAAACTAACACTCGTCAGATACACACACAGACTTATTTATACTCACACTAGCCAGCTTCTCAGATCCCCTCACCATACCACTCTATAGTCTCTGTCTGCCACTCAACTCACGCCTCACAAATCTTACAAATAATGGCCACAACATCATAGGAGCACTCGTGTTAGCTATTATGATGTGTGGGATTGCATGTGTATTAACGGACACATTCGGATTTACTCGTGGCTGCATTACTTCCCGGTTTGTATGCAGCTTGAAAGTATTTCGATGGTACTTGCTGCATATTCCTTTCTTTTTTGTTACTGTTTTGCGAAACTGACTGAATTAGTACTAGCGTGGTATTTCTTTTTGACATATATTTTAAAACCATATTTACCTTGATTATCTTCAGGTATTGTTACCACCGATTCACTCAGTCGTAATTGGGAAAAAGATTCTGAAAGATGCAGAACATTAGAAAATTCATTTTCAAATAGTTAACGAACCGATAATTATATTAATAATAATAATATACACTACACTCTAACACCGACATCGACATAATAACACAAATAGGAATACTAGTGAAAACCATTCACATGAAAACTACTTTTACAGTCAAATGCACAAACGCAAACACACGAACGATAACTCCAAATGACGTATAATGACATAAACAGCTCAGAGGACACTCAAAACATAGTCAGTCTAAAGTACTTACTGCAACAAACAACCAAACAGACAAGACACTCACAGAAAGAAAGAAACTACATTATCGCACTTACCACCACCACCTGACAAATTTGACCTGACCCTGCCTCTCCTCCCAAACCGTCGTCTTCCCACAAGCTACAATAAACAACAACAACAACAACACGTAAGAAACACCAACCACATGCCCATTACAAAACAAAACAAAACAAACACTCCACTCTCCCAACAAAAACCAAACAACAAATACATCAAAGGAAAATCAACTCACCGGAACGTCTCTATCATCACCAACCTCCTCCTCTCGTCAACCCTGGAAATAAAACCATACACATAATTTCATTAGAATCTATCTCCACACAATCCAACGCAATGCTGTCATTCAAATAAAGGAGTGCTACTTAGTCTCTATGGTACATCATAATTGAGTCATAGAATCATTTTGCTTTATAAATTTTTTTTGGTATGTTGTATTATTAATTGCATAACAGTGTAACACTTTATCGAATGAGTTTAGTGGATCATGGATCTATGATTTGAACACCCATCCACTCATCATTATCTTCTATCCTCGTCAAATGCCGTCAGAATTAGGCTGTTCACTTCACACACCACATAACTATTGGTTCTTCATCAGCATAATCATCAAATTTTGTATATCGGTTTTGTTGTAGCATGCTGAATAATGCTGATGGCCAATCTAGATCATATATTGTGACTGAAATGAACTGTCAGCAATGGCTGCTTTACCTAGGGGGGAATCTGGCGATTAGGACTGTAGTTTGGTGTCCGTAACACGTCCCAAACTTATAAACTGACGCTGGAGTTACTACAGTGCAAAACTCAGCCGGTAGTGGTATGCATAAGCTTAGGTGACATACCGTCGAATAAACAGAACTTCACGAAATTTAAGTTAGTTTTAAATGCAAATAGTTGAAACTAAATAATCAGATAACATGAATTCTTCTTAAATAATGGACAAGATAAAGAAATCATAGCGGTAACTGCTTCCCAGAATAAACCTACTTATTGAAGAAAGTTCACCCTCATCTTTGCATGATACTTTAGTGAGACATCTCGAGTCTGAAGTAGAGTATTGATCACCGAACTTCAATTCCGACAAACATGTTTTGTTATTTGAAACGTCAGATACACGTAGTGATTTGTAATTGGAATCCACTTCACTTTCATTATACAACTGGGTAAAATCGATTGCTTTCCGAAGTCAATATAAGATACAAACATACCTGGAAGCCGTTCAAGACAGACAAAAGTTTCACATGATGATAACTCCTTAAAGTCACCAAGCGATAGCGAAGACATTTAGAAGCCAGACAGAAATTAGTTTGAAAATAACTGGCACGAAATGTAAGCTACAATTAGTTTGACAGAAAACAAAAAAATGCAATAAACAAAGGATAAATAAACACCCAGAAAAGAAAGAATACTAAAATCTCAGCCAGGTTGCAAACACCTAACCAAAATTGTACATTCTTGGTGACATTTCACCGGTAATAAGTCGATTATGTGTGAAGAAATTTGACGAACAAGTAGGAGTCTATGTATTCAACTATATACACCCCATATCATTAAACCGAGTCAGTGCGTACTAGACTTGTGAGAACACTTCACATTTGGCGGGATGAGTCACAAGGAAAATATCTGAATTCTTGTTTAGTGTCCAGATTATATTTTGTCAGGATATTTCCTTAACAAGAATATGTCTTTAAAGCTAAATTCCGAGTGGTAAATTGGTGCGAGATATTCACAACCACATGAACATCTATGCTATTACTGAAAAAAAACAATATGGTATGTTGGTATGACAATAGCTATTAAGAAGTTATGGGGTTCAGAAAATCTTCCAGTCTCAACTCTTAAGTTGTCAAGCAACGGAACAATAATTTTTGATTCCACAAATTCCAGACTCAGTCAAATACATTAGATTATTTAGCTCATGCAGTATTTCTATATCACACCAGGAAGGTAATACGACCGAATAAAATACAATTTGTCAGAGATGAACATAACAACTTTAACTACCACCAAGTATTCACATACAAAGTGTAAAAAGAACAGATGAATTAGTGTGCATACTGCTATGCTTTACAAGACCGTCAATAAGAATTTTTTAAACTTGAACATTTTCCCTACGTATTAGAATATGAATTCTTAAAGCGTCATTCTTCTAGTCACCAAGGCAAAGGGTACATTTTTATAAGCATGCAATAACACATAATTGGTTGGAACACGAGGTAAGCATTTTTTAAAATTATGAGCACAAGCGGGGTAAACCTTGGCATTGTTAGGTGAATATGTAAAAATAACGAAAACCAATGGAATTACAAAAATCAGATACCCCTTGATTTCAGTTTTGTATTTCATAGAGTTTCCCGGGAACTCTAAACTACAGCAGCTCGAAACGAAACTACCTAATAAACAGATTGATGACCTTGAAGAGTGTCATCATAGAAATTGGTTCAACCTGAATATGAGGAGTCCCGTGAGAAATTAAGGGCTTTTTGGAATATATACAAGAATACTATCCTTTGTAGCCATTTTTAACATTGCATTACTTGTATACAGAGAATATATGGACAGGTTAGAAGTCGCGTTAAGCTGAAGTCTTCTTATTAAGACAGTCACCGATTATAATGGCACTAGTGCATTCCCGCTGGTTATTGTAGCTCACATAAACAGCAACGATTACGTCAATACTACGTCAATACATCTTAACTAAGAATGTGATTTTCACATAGGGCCTTTGTATGCTTAACAGCTGGTGCATCCTTATAGACGATGTTGCCAAATGGTTTGTCTCAAATCTTGTTGATTCTTACTGATTTTTATTCGATACTTACTGTACATCAACCTATACCTCACAATCAAGAGGCGAACACAAAGATATCAAATTGGTTTATACTTGCTCGTAAAAAGATATTGGATATTGGATACAGACGTTTATTTCAAATTGCGCACTTCTACTTCTTACGAATTTAATTGGTAGTTTCTTTTACCGCGCTGTTATAGTTTAGAGTCAGCATTGCTCTACTTTAGTTCCAACTACAAGCTCAGAGATTCCCTTTTCCGTTGATTGGGTTCCATTGTCTCCAATATTCTGGTAACGATGACCGATATCTACAGATTATTACTGCGCAACACATTGACCCTAGCTTACACCAGATTACCGTATTATGCACGCAAAAAATATAGTGACAAATTCAGGAACAAACCCAATGTACTACCTTGTAATCAAATTACGGTCAAAAACTGCCACTCTCATATAAACCGCTGAAAGAACTCAAGGACATAATCGAGGCAATAAAACAATTTACAAGAAGTTCATAAATTAGGAATCACTATTTTTGGGAGCTTTTATGTGATTTAGACTATTATCAGAATTTAACATTATGGGAGCATCTAACATCTAAGTTATTTTACAATTTTTATCCACTTCAGAATCTTAAATAATAATAATAATATATTCTCATTTTTGTACATGAGGGACGCCAGTTTACAGGCATCATCAATTCGATAAATTGCAGATATGATTAGTAAGTATAGTCAGTAATGATAATGTAATAAGGTACATATTTATTCCTACAAATATAGGACACACAAGTTGTATAGGCATGGATAAGTATTATTTAAGTTACATATTTAAATTACATGGATTACGGTTAAATGACACGGTTGCTGTCATTTTATCTTCAGTTTGTGGGAAAAATCTGATAACTAGTGATTCAATGGAATACATCAAGAAATATAGAGATATTGACTTCGCATCAACAAAAAAACCTAAGTATGCGTTGGATGGATTACAGATACTTGGGTAAATAAATAAAGATTGAAGTCAATTCCCTAATATAACAATAAAATGCGTCTTATAATAATATATTTTCACTTTATGCACATGAGGGACTCCAGCTGACAGGCATCATCAATATGATGATAATATACACATGGAGTAAGCATGTTTAGAATTTTTCACTGACACAAGATATATATTCAAGGGAAAATAATGGAATATTGACCATAAGCACACTCTGCATAAGTTAAAACAGTTTATATGGCATAATCTTAGCCACCATTATTGTTTGAATTTGTTGACAATGAGCGTAACAACTGAGTGTTGCGTTACATTCGGTCGATATGGTGGGCTACTCACAAAAGTATAAAAATGGCTTAAAAAACGTTAGTTAGTTTACCGTAAACGATGTTTTAAGCAATAAAATATGCGAAAGCCTCACCACAACAGTTAGTATCCAGTTAAACATGCAGAGAAGTATTAATAATTCAGCAACCAGTGAATTTTTGATTCTTTTCGGTCTGGAAACAGAGTCGAAGGAGGCATGCGGGAGCAGAATATTACCATCAAATGAGTCAGTGGGATCTGAAATGCAGCTGTCAGCATATTTTCGTTATTTCATAGATATCCAGGTTTATTGGCGCTGTATAGGTAGTGATTTGGATTTGTCATCATGATCGTCATATGGATGAATATTCAAATATGTACTACAACTTGTTCGCCTTTCGGATTTAGTTAATTACGTCGCATGTTGGGTTTGATTACTCTGGGATTTCGACATGTTCCGCAGAGTGTCGCCGTGATGATGGGAAGTATGCATTTGCTTTAAATGCATTACTTTGTTGGCTGCTACCTCTACTGAGTGTATACAACGGGAACTGTGGATTTATGAATTTCCTCACTACTGTGGATAAAATATCGCCGCATTCTTTCTGGAAGTTTTGTAAACACTTAGATTACATGGATTTCAAACTTAAACATTACTAAGTGTTATTCAATCTATGGACACAAATACTGGAGTGTGCTGAACTTCTAATTTGTAATTGAATGCAAGAGAATTCGAAGTTTGTGTACCACTGTAGCTGGGGAATTCTGAAAAACTGTGGTTATGCAAACTGTGCATCAGTGTGTAACAACCAGTTGCCATGATCAAATAGTAGAGAGTAATACTACAGTCACTCAAATAAGAATCCAATTCATCAATGTTTTCTTCTAACTGAACAAAACGATAGTGGAATAAACGACTCAGATGCCTTTAAAACATATCCCCCTCCCAAAAGAAAACTGTTTCGTCATGTTGGTTTAATGACAGAATTAACATTATACATGTTTTTCAAGAGGAATTTTTAATTTTGAAAAATTTTCTGACGTGAAGAGTGTCAATGGCATAATGCACTCGATTAGTGTCGCAGATGCTGCACCGGTATCGGAAAATATCACTTGATAGTGATATTTGTGCTATGTAATGTATTGAAGTAGACAGTAGGTTCGAAATTTAAGTGTATACTTTTTCAATATTATGATGCCATACCAGCATATTTGGCCCACTTATTAAAATGCTATTGTCTTCTCTGGTGTGTTAGCTATTAGCATTCACTGCATGATTTCAGCATTAATTTCTGTCTTTGTGTGTTCAGTACAGACTGGTTTTCATTTAAATACAAAGAATTAGCATTATGGTGAATTTGTGTTTCAAATGGTCTTTATTTCAGAGAAAGATTTAACTGGCACGAGGTCCCAAATTCACTAACATAACTAATGCTCATATGTGAAAGGTTATTATCTCAATCGTAATAACCCTAAGTTGTTCAAAAGACGTGGAATACATTGTGTTGCAATTTATCTGAAAAAAAGAATAAGAAGTTCAACAAAGGTATCTTTTTGGCGAATTCATTCTCAAAAGCTGTGAAATCATATTTATATACATAACTTTGCAAAGATAAAGTTACAATCTATTTCAGATAGTAAAGAAGGAGATTAAACGTGATAATTTTCAAATTATCGGAATTTCACAGGATTAGAAAATCTTTGCGTTGCATGTAAAATAAGATTCTTTGTAAAGAATATAGAGTAGGTCAAAAGAATATAGGTGTAAACGGGATGAGCATGGAAACAAGTTGAGATAATACTTTTTATAACTTGCCAGCTTGAAAAATAGGATCTTAAATTCAACAATGGACAAAAAATTCGTCAATGACACTTTTGCAGTTTGTCATGATGTTTCTGATTTAAATTGTATTTTGCAGCAATTCAACAGTAGCTGTCCTTCAGTAACATTCACAGTGGAGGTTGTAAATGGATCAAAGTTTCCATTTCCGGGCATCTCAAATGTGACGAAAGAACTCTGAAAGATTCTGTCCCCAGAAATAAAATCATGGAACTGCTATCTGACGAAAAGTTGCATACTTGTCGGTCGAAAAATAGCTCTCATCATCACTCTTGAGAGAAGAATTTACAGCAGCGACTGATTAGAAGAACAGCTTCTATTTCTCAAGAATATCTTTTCTCAAAATGGATACCCGGCACGTTTCGTGGAGAAAAAAATTACACCAAAGCCGAAAAGGGAAGAATGCACTTCTTTACCCAAGAAAACACTATATTTTAATCTGGACCTCATTGGGGACTTAACTGAAGACATTCTTAAGCACAGAATCTCCATTTCCCTAAAGAAGACCTACCTTCGGGCGGGGTGTTTACCTGCAGCCCACTGTTTCGAAGCAGTTTGAAGTCCACACGGCTACAAAGAAGTGGTACTGGTTCAAACAGAAGCGCCATGATTGAACACTTCAGCGACGCCTGTCGCAGCATCCCAACTGACTCATCATCCAGAGTCATTTGTAAAGTAAACGGAAATCTACCAAAATCAGTGTGATACCAAATTCTTTGTGCTGGAGAACCCCTTCGCCATACACACTGAAAGACCGGAGCTGTATATTCAATAGAAAATGGTTCATCCCCTACATTTACTACGGGTTTAGTAAGGTCTAATAAGTCACACATTTTCACCCTTCGTTTTTTATATTTTTATTTTTGGTGGTAAAACATCACTTCAATTTGTCGCCATGCTCATCCTGTTCGCATCTTTATTCAGCAAAAAAGATTTCCTAATCCTGTGTAATTTTGTCTGTAGGCTTCATGTAATCTGCATTCACACATTCAAACTTTCACTTCAATTTAAAAATTATCACTTTTAATTATTGTTCTTAGCACTGCCAACACTGCACCGTCTATTGAATTTAGACAACCAAAATATACATTTCCCACTTTATTGAGGAAACAGCCATTATTTTGGAAAAGTAGCACATGAGTGTCTACATTTCATGAATTCTACAGATCTAAGCCCACTCACCTATAAAGGGAACTAAATAATCACATTATTTGTATTTAAATGTCAAGTGACAAAGCAAATTAATGTCATATATAGAATAATTAATAGGATGGATAGAACTTGAAAATGGTGTGCAATTATAAGATTAGTAGATAAATCGAATAAAATAAAAACGTTACGTAATATTGTGTGAAATTTAATAGCATAGAATTTAATGTTGCATAAAGGAATTGATTTAGAATGACAAGTGGAACAAGTGAAATAATACCGGGGACAATTAAAAGTGAAAGTAGTAATAGTAACAATTGACTTAATAAGGAAGAGTGTACAAATTGAATAGACAAAAATGAAAAAATGAAAAATTGGTAGAGCTAAAATATGATTGGGGATTACCATACTTTAGCATAGAGGGGTTAAGACAATGAAAGTTGGAGGGGTTGAACGAACTTTTTCTGTACACAGAGATCTGGCTTTTCTGTTTCGATAGCCAAAGCTTCAGCAATACAGATGAGTCGGGTACGTAGGGATTTGGGTAAATTACTAGTCGACCATTATTTTTCAATAACCTGAAGGACAAGACCCCGCTATTGACCAACTCTATGTGTGTTTATCAATTCACCTACTCGTGTGGAGCTAGATATATCGGTCGTTCGACACGAGTTTTGTCCAAGAGGGTGCAAGAACACTATCCTGCATGGTTACGAAAAGGTGGAAGTGGAGCAATAAGAAGTGCGATCATTGAACATCTGGTCGATAATGATCACCCTATCTCTATAGCCTCCACCTTCAAAGTCATCTACAAGGCAAAGAGTAATTTACCCAAATCCCTACGTACCCGACTCATCTGTATTGCTGAAGCTTTGGCTATCGAAACAGAAAAGCCAGATCTCTGTGTACAGAAAAAGTTCGTTCAACCCCTCCAACTTTCATTGTCTTAACCCCTCTATGCTAAAGTATGGTAATCCCCAATCATATTTTAGCTCTACCAATTTTTCATTTTTTCATTTTTGTCTATTCAATTTGTACACTCTTCCTTATTAAGTCAATTGTTACTATTACTACTTTCACTTTTAATTGTCCCCGGTATTATTTCACTTGTTCCACTTGTCATTCTAAATCAATTCCTTTATGCAACATTAAATTCTAT